GCAATACAAGTATATGCATTTTTTTTTGAAAAAAAATTATTTAAATTTAATTTTCAGAAGAATCCCATTTCTAAAGTTCGAATATTTTTGCTAGAAAATTAAACTTTTTCAAATGTGTGTGTGTTTTTTTTTAATATAAATACAAGAAATAAACAAAAAAACATTGTACATGCATTTTTTTTTCTTTAAAGTTATTATCAAATTTAAAAAACTTAATTATAAGCTTAAGAGAAACAATTCCTTGATGAATTAATTTCAACTTATTTTGTCATATTTTAAATTTTCAAATTTTCGTTTCAATCATATAAATTCTAAAAAAAAAAATTTTCATTTTAGTTGGATATTTTCCAAAAAAAAAAAAAAGAAAAGAAAAGTTATAAATTTCAAAATTTAAGATTATGCGCTCACTTGGATCATTACAATCAGAATGTGAATTAGCTCATGATCTAACCGATGAATTGGAAATGAATCAATTACAATTGTTTATATTGAAATATCGTTTAGCTGCAATTTCTGATATTAATTTTCCAACACCATCGGTTGGTATTATTGTAACATTCATTTAAAAACTAAATCAAATAATTTCTTAATTTAGAACTGATAATTTTTATCAATTTATCAATTACATTTTGAAAATTTAAAATTTTAAATCCAATGATAAATTTTGATTGAAAAAAAGAAATCTGATATAACATTGCATGCAACATTTTATCAACTTTTTATATTTATTATAAAATCATTTTTTCTTTTTTCTATTTCAGGAATTATTAAGTAAAATTTCATTGCGTACATTACGTCATTTAAGTTCATTTGGTGGTGCTGCCATATGCTCTCTTCATTTATACTTCTTGTGTAAATTACAATTTCAAATGTTAGCATTTAATTAGCTAATTAACATTTAACTTATTAATCATATCCGCTTATGAAGAAATTGTCATTTGAAAAAAAAAAACCACTCAAAATTTTTGAAAATTTTTTTTAACTTATCATTTTTAAACAACAAAAAAATAATTCACAATGATAAATACTTAAATTCTCGCTGCACACATTTAAAACTTAAATTTTTAGAGAAATTTGAAATTTCATTTAATATTTTTGAATTATTTAAGCTATAGCTAGTTGAAAATTGAAAATGTTTCTTAAAAAAGTCAAAAATTTTTCATTCTTTATTTTTTAAAAAATTAACTTTCCATTTTTGCAATATTTTCAGTTGTAAAAGATTATGGAATCAACAAGAGGAATTAATGCTGAATGTTTCTCGACTTCATGCACTTTATGACGAACATCTTTTTAATGGTACCAATGGTACCATAAGTGTATTACTTCCTTCTGGTTCCATTATATGTCTTCAGCAAACAACCATAGATAATGTGAGCGAGATATTATGCAAGGTGAGCAAATTTTTCTTTATAAAATTAAAATGAGCTAATTTTATCATCAATGTTAATGATATTTTAGTTTATGAAAGAATTTTCTCCATAGTTTAATTTAAGATTTAAATTTGAATTTAAATTTGAGAAAAAAATTTGAATATTTATTATGAGCATAATTAAAAAAAAGGTCACATTTACTGATAAGCATTGAAAACAGATGGCATTGTATTTCTTCCTAAATTTAGATATTGCGATTTTTTTTTTCACCTCAGGTTTGCGAAGAGCTAAAACTTGACCCTAGGAAATATTATATTATAAGAGAAAGTCATGATCGAGTTCGATTACAAGAACGAGACTATCGAGTGCAGAAGAAAGAGCGAAGTCTTGGATTAACTATATCAGCTAAAATTTGTAATGATGGTGTAATAAAGGTAAATTGTATACTTTAAAAAATTATGAAAATATTTTTTACAGGCCAAAGGTTAAACGAGCTATTGTTTATTTACATAGAGATTTATAGGCTATACAAAGTATATGGAAGAGAAAAAAACTGACAATAAATTGGAAAATTAAAAAAAAAAAAGAAAATGAAAGGAAAACGAGTTATTGCATGCAAGAAAATAATATAATTTAAAAAATTGAATAAATCAGATGTTGTGATCAAATTAGAAATTCTTTAGAGAGGTCAAAGGACGATGAATAAAAATTATTTACTTCATAATCATTTTATTTTAAAAATGATATTCTAATAGTATTATGGTTCAATTTTTAGCATTCATTTGCAAAATAGCTTTGTATATTTGATATTGAATGGGAAGAAATAGTTTCTAAATTTTAAGTTAGCAAGAAATTTACACGCTTTTGTTTAATCTGAAATTTCATCCTTTTCTCAAATATGAAATTCTCGAAATTCCACTCTGACGAGTTATTTCAGCAAATAATGGCTTTTTTTATTCAATCTATCTAAAAGATATGGTAGTGATTATAATATGTTTACTCACTTAATGATAATAATCATAACAAGCTTATTATCACTTACTTATTTACTTACTTACTTACTAATAACGAACACAGCATGTTTATTGATTTAATGATAATATATCATAATAGACATACTTATTTAAATGTTATTGCATGCGATCTATCTGAAAATGTTTGTATTACTTTTTATCATTATTGTTTTCTTTTTTTTTTTTTTGTTTTAATAGAATTTTAACTTGTAAAAGCAATGGAACAATTTCATGTAAGAGAAAATTAAATAATAGAAGAGATATTGATCTTTACAAAGGTCAACATTGATATTTAAATTAAACCTTTTTTTTTTTTTTTTTTTAAATGTCAAAGATTCTTCCAGAAATCACATCAATCATCTAAGTGACAAAAAAATTAGACAGAATGATTGAAAGAATAGCAATTTTGCATTTACATTTCAAAAGCCTGCTAATATTAGTTGATAAATTTAATTTTTTGCAAAATAAATTATACAGTATTCGTTATTTATGCAAAAAAAAAAAAAAAAGAAATCGATGAATCCATTAATCAATATTTGCATATTTTACAATATTTTAATTCATCAAAAATTATTAAAAGAATCATCACCTTTATATTAAAAATCTAAGAAAGATTTAAAATTATAATTAAATATTTGATGGAAATGATTTATAAATTCAAGTTCTCATGCCTATATATATATATATATATATAA